ATGTAGAAATGCTCTAGTATCTGGGCATTTCTTAGGCTTTACACTACTTGCCAGACACCCTTAAGGGTCAAAAAATCTTTACCCTACTTACGTCATTTTAAAAATAGGAATTTTATAAGTTATTCAGGTAAATATTTAAAGATGTCTCCCAAGTATCTGGACAGTTAATATGCTTAAAACCATCTACCGGTCACTCTAATGTTTAATAGAATGTGACCCTATTAGATCATTTTATATCGATTTTTATATTTTAATTTACTAACAAAAATACATTTTAGAAAAGTTAAATTCAATTTCAATTAATAAAATTTGTTTCCTTTCTTTTTCTTCTCATTATAAATAATGATAAATATTTTTGTTTACGTAAAAATAACTTTTGATTTGAAATTTCCACAAAAATTTGCTAATCTAACTAGGGATTTTTCATAAAGTTTTTTGTATAAGCTACCATGTTATTCAATTAAAAAAAAGCATCAATAAACACAACAATTCTCAAATATGCTTTTCCGAAATGTGGTGGCTCAGTGGATAGAGCACTCGCCTCCCAAAGAGGTGAACCGGGTTCAAATCTCAGCAATGACTGGTCGATGCAAATTCCGCATCCGGCTCGCACCGAACACAGTGCTGAGTTAAAAACATTATCAGTGGTAGACGGATCATGGGCTAGAGTCCCCTTGCTTCCCGGCTAACTAAAGGTGGTTTTCGTGGCTTTCCTCACCATGTAACGCAATCGCGGATTAGTTGCGGATTAGCGGAAAAAGTCCTCCACGAAGGCAAATTTCACTCAACACTTGATCCCGGACTTTCCTTGTCCTATGTCAATACAGGACTACGAAGCTGAGCATTAGTAGTCGTAAACCCAAAATTGTGTCGGCTGTTCAATGACGATAATAAAATAAAATTTGCTTTTCTGTGCTAAGAATGTTTGAAAGCGCTATACTTAATTTTTCATTGGGCCCTGTGAATATTCTTTACTTTAATAAATAGAAATTTTTTTTTATAGTCTGATAATACTAAAATGAATTATGATTTTCTCAAAGTTAGTAAATACATTATAGTTACGTAAACAATATGAGCATTTGAAAAAACTTTTAAGCTTTTTATCCTTCTTGTTCAAAATTTGTTTTCTCTTCTAACAAATGATATTACGTAAGATTATAAAGGATAATGATTTTAAAATCCTTCTTTTTCAAAAAACTAAACCTTAGAATCAGGTATGAGAAATACTACGTCTTTATTTTAACATTATCACTTACCTTAACACTAGATTGATGGTCTGTTGCATCAGCTCTAAAGAATTCACTGCTTGCATAACTACTTGTATGTCCTTTACCTGCAGTCTATTGGATTTTGTCTTCCTGTGCTTTCTAAAAACCTTTTGAAATGCAAATGAGAAGAGATTTACACTGAATTTCCATGAAAGTATTATCTCTTACAATCAATTTTATTTCAAAAGACATTTCCTCTTAGGGATACGGGAACTTGACAAGACACACTCAATTTAAGATTTTTTATTCAACTTTTTTTTTCAGTTTGTATTGATGTTCAGGTAACAAACTAGATATCAAATTGGCATTTAATTTTTCAATAGATATCTTATTGTACTTAACAATAGCATATTTTGAATCAAAGAAATTTTAAAAAATTTTATTTTGCTTTTTAGCTTTAAATTTGAATATAAGCTCATGTTGTACATTTTGCACGGTATAAAGTTTCAGACCAAATAACGTTATGCATCATCTGGCACTTTGGGTGCATCATTTATAAAATCCATTTCACCGTAAATCTACTTTTTTATAGTAAACTATTATCCCGTAACTTTTACAGTAATATTTATTTAAGTGTATTTAATTAAGTAATACTTATTTGGAGTGATTCAGTGATTTTACGGTAATTATTACAGTAGAAATTACGGTGTATGAGACCGGCAAACCGGCAAAAATTGATTTCACGGTAAATATACTGGCACGTCAAGTGCTGGTACACTTTACCGTAATTTGATCCGGAGGTTTATACTGTGTATTTCTAAACTACATTTAATTATAAGCAGCAATATTTAAGTTTCAACTCTCTCTCATGCTGATAGAAATTTTTCTGAAGAAATGGTTAACTAACAGTTTATTTAATTGTTATTTTATGAAATTCTACCAAAACAGTCCTATGAGTCATGCTACCATATTCAAGATTCAATTATCTTGCACACTTCAATTGGTGAATCCTTTGGACCATTAAAATATAAAAATCTCATTCACGATGGTAGAACTATGGAGGGTCTTCAAACAAAACACGGTAAGTGACTCCCGGATATAAACAATAGGTCATTTCAAAAGTCGCTTAACACAACTCAACCACAACATAACTCCATTGCCCTTCACCTAACGAAATGTCATAACCTAACTTCAGAGTGAGTTTCATTTTTGAGTTTTTTTTTATCATGCTAGTTGTAACTGATTACAAAACTGTAATTTTTTATATTTCTAGATTTCTTATACTGTCAGTTGTAAGCAATTTTAAACCCGTATATGTTAGTAGTATATAGTCGGTCATTTTTGACTCAGTCTGTTCATTTCTGACTCAATATCGATCGATTCGTAATGTTAAACGCCATAGAGAATTGGTGCTCGACCGAAAGTTTGTTTGACCGGTGGCAACGGCCTGTTCGCTCGATATTCAGCTCTGGTGTGAGTATCGATCGGATTTTTCTATGGGAAATATTTTCTGACTCGGTCTGACAGTGTTTCAAGTTGTTCGTTTTTGTTTGATTTTGTCTGCTCTTGTTTTCTTGCGCTCTCACGCGCCCGTTGCCACGCTCGATATGAAATAAATACGAATCAGACTTTTCTATAACAAATATTGTCTGACTCAGTCTGATGCTGTTTCAATACATTCTTTTTTTAAAAAAAAGTCGGAAATAAACATTTGATAGAAATGAAAATATAAATAAAAACTTACCGTGCTTGTGCAGTGCAGATTATCCTTAATGGTGCGGGCAGGGTGCGGCGTGCGAAGCGTGGNAAACAATAAATATAGATGAAAAATGCAATTAAAAAAAAATGGCCGAAGTTACTGCCTTAAAATGTCTCAATCAGCCCAGTAAAGCACTGTCTCAGAGCCATCGGACATTAATGGAGTTTCCAAAAGATTTCAATGCAGATTAGTGATAATAATATTATATTGGAAAAAAAGTGTATTGTAAATTGAAATTATGGTAAAAAAAATAAAAAATACGCAATACATAAATAGAGAAAAATTAAAAATATTAACATCTTATAGAACATGTAATTCTTTACAACAATAAAATATGTACACTTACATGAGCATAATTGATTATTTTGACTAAGACAAAAAAGAAAATTCAAGGAATTAGGAATTCAATTTTCAAACAAATTTTTCACAAATGTTGATAATTTTTAAAATAAACTAAAATGTATTTTGAACTTAGCATGTTTTAAATTAAGGTCGAAAGTGTTAAAAAAGTTAGTTACAAATTATACAAAAAATCACTTTTAGATTTTCTTTAAAAATTTTATCATAAAACATAGAGATAAAATAAGATTACAGCTAGAACAAAAAATCTTAATATTGAAAACTAAAATCAACACCTAAAATTCGAATTTTTAAGAAAAAATTAAATTAAGTTTAAATACAACATCCATACTCAAATAAGGAAAATTACAAACAAACCTAAACAGATTTTTAAAGTTTTGTGACAGTTCAATTAAAAATTATTGAAAGGAAAATATATAATACAAACTTTCAATACTTACGCTTTTAATATTAAATCGTAATATGGAGCTTAAATACGTTGGAAGCATAGTTAAGAATGTGTAGAATCCCCAATTTTGTCCAAAATGGGTAATCATTAATGTCCACACAGGAATAGATGTCAGTATCTTTTTCCAAGGAATATTTGGTTTCTACACAAAAGAAGAAATTGATAGACATTCACTGACAAACATATTTTAAATAATTATGTTTTAGAAAAATATTGAAAGAAAGGCTTTTAAGATTTTTCAGGAATTAATAGTATTTGAAATATATTTAAATCAGCTTAATTGTATTACATGATTAAAAACAGAAATAATAATTAGATGTACAAAATATGTTCTTGAATTTTTACATTAGAAGTTTTTCACTTTAAGATTTCTCATTATAACTTAGCTTTCATTTTATACCCAAAAAACATAAAATGGAGGTCACTATATTACTTTATAAATACAAAATAAATAATGAAATGAAAGGAAGTTGAACAAAGGTATACATATAAACCAGGATCATGTTTGTGGCATAATTACCACTACGAATATTAAACATCAATTCACTGGTATATAAGACATGTTAACTTGATTCTCATGCATTTCAGCCACGGACGAGAGAGGTTGCTCCTCGAAACCAGTTCTCTACTATCATAGATAACGAAATCATCGACGGGTCTGCAGGAGTAGGACAGTCCGAGTGTCGCGGGGGCCAGACCCCCGAACGGTCGGCCACCCCGCCTGTAGATTCTATGCACCTCGCGTCCACCCGAGCTCTTATCAGAGCTTGTTGACCGGGATACAGGGGACACGGCTATGTCACAGCCACAAGATGCGGGGCTACCTGGCACCCTTATGGCACCGACAGGGATGGCTACGCCGGAACTGCACGGACCGTCTGGGAGCCTTGTAGTATCCAACACGGATAGGAGTGACAACGAAATAAACATTACCACTGGCTACAAAATGGAAAGGCCGGAAATCATCACAAATCATCATCAGGCATCACCATCAGGCCGGAAATCATAAATAATAGACCGAGTGACAGAACATATCAAAATAAAAGTTATGCTGATGCCCTAAAAAGACAAAATAACTCAGATATGCAAAGCTCAATAAACGAGGCCAAAAATATCTTCCAAAAATTAAATGATATGGTCAGTGTCTTAAATGCATTAAATGCCATACCCCAGCTTCGCAAAGCGGTCAAATTAATAGAGCAAGAGGAATATCATACATACCAAGATGAATAGTAAACCTATTAGCATTATGTTGTGGAATGCGGCTAACATTAGCACAAAATTCCACGAATTCAGTAATTTTATCCTTGAACATGATATTGATATCGCCCTAATAACCAAGACTCATGCAAATGCTCGTAAGGACAGATGTCGAAAGTTCATTACAACTGATGAAGCTTGGATCTATCTATCTGATACCAATGCTAAATCTAAAGTTCAATATCTTAGCCGTGGGCAGATCAGGCGAGACTTGACACCATCAACCACGGTGCCTCATCCCAAAGGCGTAATGGTTTGGATGGGCATATCTACCCATGGTGTGACCAAACCTCGGTTTGTGAAACCTGGGGCCAAAATAAATTCTGAGTATTACTTACAGAAGATATTAAAGCCCGTTCTTAAGGATGATTACTGCAGATTGTACCCTAATGGTGTTGCTGTGTCCCATCAGGACTCTGCCCAATCGCATGCATCTAAGGTCACCCAGAAATTCCTAACAGATCAGCAAGTGCAATTCCTGAGACCAGAACAATGGATTCCAAACAGTCCTGATGCTGCACCAAGCGACTATTTCCTATGAACTGAACGTGAATCAGATTTGCAGAATCTTGATAAGATGACATCAAAACCGGATCCACCAACACAGGCAAGCATTGCTAAAGCTCTTAACGTGAGTCAGCAAGTGGCAAGCTATCAACTAAAGCCAAAGTTGAAGAAAAAATTCCATAAAAAACCTAAATGTCATCATTTAAGTGAGAGATCGGTGCAGATTAGGAGGCAACGTTCATGGCCCCTCTACAAGCTTCTCCGTAAGGACGGATGTCGAAAGTTCATTACAACTGATGAAGCTTGGATCTATCTATCTGATACCAATGCTAAATCTAAAGTTCAATATCTTAGCCGTGGGCAGATCAGGCGAGACTTGACACCATCAACCACGGTGCCTCATCCCAAAGGCGTAATGGTTTTGTGACCAAACCTCGGTTTGTGAAACCTGGGGCCAAAATAAATTCTGAGTATTACTTACAGAAGATATTAAAGCCCGTTCTTAAGGATGATTACTGCAGATTGTACCCTAATGGTGTTGCTGTGTCCCATCAGGACTCTGCCCAATCGCATGCATCTAAGGTCACCCAGAAATTCCTAACAGATCAGCAAGTGCAATTCCTGAGACCAGAACAATGGATTCCAAACAGTCCTGATGCTGCACCAAGCGACTATTTCCTATGGGGACACCTGAAAAACAAGCTGAATAAGCGAAGAATTTCTACATTGAGAGGCCTTCAAAGAGCTATTGGAGAAGAGGTGAAGAAAATCCCCCAGGAAATCATTTTGCGGGCTTTAAAATCATGGCTAAAGCGTCGTAGACAAATCTATTATGCCGGAGATCCACATATTGAGAAGCATCGCTGAATTTATGTAATAAATTTTGGAAATAAAATTATTCAAAAATGATCCCTATATCTTTTGTTACCCTGTATAAGTAATAATGTATCTAAAATTACTTATATTTATTTCTTTTACTGTCCTAAATTTCAAGATTTAAAAGATTTAATTGTCTTGACTAGTGGAGTGTTTCAGTATTTTAAAATTTCTGACAGTAGCGAAGCAACTTTTAACAAAATCTAAAACAGACAATCCCAAGCTTCTAACAATTACTTAATAGCTAACGGAAAGTAAAGAAAATATGAGCAGAGTTACCGTTTACAATATTTCTGATATTTTAATTGTTAACTTGCAATATTTACAGGTTTTTTTACTTTTGAGGGCGTTATGTAAGAACAAGTTCACATCCATGTGACGTGTCATTATCTTATCAAAAAGAAACGATATACTGAAATTCATTAAATCATGATTTCTTTATCTTTGTTAATGTTTTTGTGAAAATACTTAATGTAAGTTCATCAATAGGTCTAGGGTGAAAACTATGTTTTCACCTCGTTGATCTTTCAACTAATACTTTACTAAATGGTCACGTTCCTTACCTCCGGGTAACGTACAGTGTAGAAAAGCAAATATCATTCCTTTTTCGTTACGTGCTCATAATATAAAATATCAAAACTTCTGAATTAGGTTATCAAAATTTACTCGATATACAGAGAATTTTTCATTTTCAGTATATATGCAGTGCACGACCATCTCCTCTTTTTCGATGATAAATTGCAATTTATATACCTTAAAGTGGTATGAAATTCAATTCGATCCAAATTTAAGGCAATATTCAAAATATTTAAAACAGTAATTACAGATAGATATTTACTAAAGAAATATGTTATCACTTAAAAAAAATGAAAATTTTTCTTCATGCTGATTTTCATTTTTTGTAAGAGTTTTCTTCTCCTAAGTATGAAAGGTTAAATCATTACTGTCTATCTTATTACATGTATAGATAACGCAAACGCAAGTTTATGGCCAAAACTACAAAGTTCCAAACAATACTTGTGGGTATATTTAAATATATTTTATCAATTCTTCCCGTACTAAACAATTTCATTGAAAACTATAAATAAATCTTATCCCCCGCAAAAAGAAATGAATTTTAAAATGTATGATATCCGTTAATTTGATGCAATTATCTTATGCCCTCTTCTTCCGAGTCATAAGCTTGAATCTCTGAGTACAATTGCTCTGAGATTTTACTGAAAATTCTCAACTACCACTAGTTTAATCATATTCATGACTTAAGGGGGGACCCCACCCTGAGATGGTAAAATATTAAGGTTTTTCTTGAATTTTTTTTAAGTAATAGAGACAATGCAGAGACTCCTTGTTTTTTAATGTTATTTAGCTACAATTTAGGTCTATTTTCAAAAATTTTCTTTCACAAAATAATAAAAAATAAGTTGGCGTCAGCTCCGTGTGCGGCTGGTCATCAAAAAGTAGCACCTCACTGGCCTCATGGATTTAGAAGTCCTGAAGAATAGGAAAACGATTTTGTTTAGATTTTCTGAAACATAAAGACATTATCTAAAAAGTAGCGTAGCTGTTATTTGATATTCGCAAAATTACCAACTTTAAAAAAAAAGTTAAGTTTTTCATTAAAAAAATATTCATTAAAATACTAATATAAAATCGAAATATAAAAATATCAAAAAAATCCTGCACTACTTTCTAAAGAATATATTTTTACGTAATTTAAAATGAAGAATAGCTTATTTCGTTGCAGAGATCATGAGAAAGACGTTACGCCAGGTCAAAAAACAGCGTTTTTAGAAAAATGAGTTTAAAGTTTTGACTTATGGTAGGGGAAGACGTTTAATTTCATATATATAACGGTCGATAAATGAAATGCCTCCAATAAGTTTCTATATACAGTCGCCCCTCCTAATCCGGCCGAACGGGCCTTTCTACCTGCTTAGCGACGACTCTCTATTTTGCGGTATAACTTCCAAACGAAGTTAGGTATCGAGAAAGCGTTTTAGACAGACATTAGAAAGGGTACAAAGATTCGAAAAATGCAATAAATGTTTTTTCGAATCTTTGAAATATTCAGCGTGCTGTCCCTCCTTAAGAATGTGAAAGAATAGAACATGTTCGAAACCTTTTCAAACCGTTACATGCTGATGTTTACTTGCTATCAGTAAATTGCAAATTGAGCAGTTGAATTCTCTCTCTATTGTAAAAATTCCTAAGGACTTCCGATGCTATTTTGAGTATTCAACTTATCGTTACAGTTTGTTTTGTAGCGCAAAAATTATGTATCCTAGAAAATTACTATGGTGTGTAGAAAAGTGCACAGGAATTGGTGGATTGAAAACATTTGACATTCGATAATGTGTTCGAAAAATATTAACTGTTAATTTTTTTTGGAAAAGAGTCGATACGGATCGCTCTTCGGGCTGCAGAATTGCAACAGCAGAGTTACAGGGATTGACGCGTGGGGCCTTATAATTTCTGAATCCTTAAAAAATCCTCCCATTTCTTAAAGAAAGTAAATTGACTTGCTTTGCTGGCTTCTACAACGTTTTCATTATTTTCATGAAAATGTCTTCCATTTTTTTATATATTTACCCCTTATTTTATGAACGGTACTTTAAATTTTACCATTTATTTATTTATTTTTTTAATATTTCTTCAAGCGTTTTATAAAACTTGAGAATAATCTTTGGAAGAAAAAGAAAAATTTTGAAAGTTCTTCCAGGATGGCATTTTTTCCACAAATAATTGGTAATTTCGTTTTAACATAGATGTAAATATAATGGAAAACAAAAATAATTTTATTGTTAAAACATTTACTGAATAAAGTAAGCATGATTTTTTTTATAAAAGGAACAATTTGTAATACAATATATAATATATAATAATACATTATATTATTTAAAAGTATCCCCGGTGTCTCAGTGTTAGCCCTTCGCATTTCGGTATGACACGTCCGAGATTCTATCCTCGATGCAGGTAAGTTTGACTCCGTGGCTCTATAAAATGACTACCATCCATGCTTGGCGACTGGCGGTTCTGCGTTCGCCGAGGATTCTGCGTTCGGCCGACCGCCCTACCCAAACAACTAACTGCCCCTGCACCTCAGAGTTCAAGGTTAATATAGCTAAGATGGTCGGTAGGGTGCTGGGCTCATGTCCAAGAGGTCGTGGGTTCGATCCCCGCCGGCCGAAGACTCCCGTGTAGTAAATGGTGACTGATGCACGTTAAATCTGTCTAGTCTCAAAGTCCTCCATGTTCCCATAACAAATCAATACCTCTGGGGGTACTGATCCTGGAGTTTCCTTGTCTTCTGGATTGGTTCAAAATTACAAGGCTACGGAGTTGAACGTAAGTAGTCGTAAACCCATGAAATTGGGTCGGCTGTTCAACGACGGTTATAAAAT